TAGAATTTTGAATTTTCTGGACTGGTTTTATATTTTTAGAAAATTATTAGATTTGTTTTAGAATTATTCTGGGCATATATATATATATATACAAAAAGGGCTTTGATTTGGTGCGGCAAGTTGCACAGCGTCTTGGTGTGCTTAAGTCAGGACCACTAGATGCTCTTGATGATCAGCTTATAATTCAGTGTATTACGGGGCATCGTAAGGTAGTACACATGCTGATCTTGACCACTACATTATTTAATCTTAAGTGAATTGATCAGGTGGATTGCGGCCTATGATAAGATGCTACACACGCTGATCTAGGCCAGTGGATTAATTTAGTGAAAGTTAGAATGATTCGGTGCATTACGGCGTATGGAAAAGGTTACCCACGTGCGTCTGGACTGTAGATGTGGTCCAGTCAACTTAGAAATGATCCGGTGCAGCGAGGTCATAGCAGCTGAAAGATTCCAGCCAATCAGAACGCGCCAGCACACACAGAGCTTAGATCCAGCGCGTAGGAAATCCATGTTGGCCTATTTCAACACTTGAAATTGAAACGGTCATAACTTAGTCATCTTAAATCAAAATTGGGTCATTCTTGAGCTCAAATTTAAAGATTTTTCTTCCTCTTTCCAATGGTACCAATTTCATTCTTAGATTCCTATCATACTAAGACATATTTACGTTTTAGTGAGACGGTGTCGGAAAATTATTTAAATTCTATAGGGCCTAGAACCTTGTGTTATGATAATTGATGGGAATGATTAATATTATTATTTTTATTTGGTATATCATGGTTGATAGGGAGTATGGTTGATTTAATCATAATAGGTTGGTTATTAAATTAATGATATACTTGTAATATGCATGGAATGCCTATGTATGGTTTGTTTTATTGGTAAATTTGTTTTAAAATTTGGGACATGGTTGAATTATAGGCATTAATAAGTTGCTTATTATTTGTATGAATAAATTGCATATATGGGAAGCATGGATGAGTTATTAATTAAAAGTATAAATATATATATTTAAGGAGGCATACTTGAATTGCCAATATATAAATAAATATATTTATAATGGCATGGTTGATTTGTCAAAACATAATTAAATTGTTATGTATTAGATGATTACAATTTCATCTATGAATACTGTATGTATAGATTGGATTAGGATTAGATATTCTTAAATTAGAATAATCTATTACTTACAGGTTAGTGTATTATTTTATATATATTAATAAGATAATATTGGTGGAGACATGGATGATTTGTCAAAACCTATAATTTGGCTGTGTGATTTAAATAACTAAATCATTATTGAGTTTTGAATTAAATATAATATTGTTTAATTATATTATTTAAATGTTTAATTAACTGTCTAGAATGGGATTGAGGTTAAGAAACTTTTCTTTTAAAGAAATAGTGGATTGGTCTAGGAATGATTATTGTTTATTCATTGGTAATGGTTTTGGAATTAATGAACCTAGAAATAGATGTGACTGTTGTATTTATATATATGTGCGTATCATTGTTTATTACAGATAAAAACTTTATTAGGTTTGGTTTTGGTTAGAGATAATTTTTTTATTGGTTTTTAGAGGCCTGGTAGAGAGAACTTGCTCGTGGGTTTAACTCACGATTTATTTTTTAGGTTATTAGAAGTTCCAGTCTCGAGGTTGAGGATCCGCAGCTGAGAGATTGTCATTCATCTACTCATCTTGTTTATTTTTATGTAGTATTGTTTTTTATGAGATAATATTTTTAAGGGTTCTTGAATTACGGGATTCCCGAGTTGTAATTTTGGAGAAGTATTTAATGGAATTATTATTAATAGATTTTTCTTCAGCGGGTTATTTATTCTTTTTATTTATTTTTGTAATCTGTGCTTGTTTGAAATACTTTAATTGTTTTGATATCCCCTGGTTTTGTGCTCGAACTTGATCAAAATGAATTTAAAACACATCCAAGCTACAGTGGAAGGTACATCCACAAAGAGAATATCCTTTCCTGAAAAATATGAAATCAACGGGTGTGAGTAATTTAAATTACTCCATAGGAAATGGATTATAATAATAAACTAGGTTTCTTTGGTCTCGCAAATATAGCATATACTATATAGGTATGGGACATTCCTCATAACATCTAATTCAAGGTGATCCAAAAGGAAGAAACCTAGAACTAGCAAGTGAACCAAATATACCAAGTCCATTTCAAATATGTGCAAGTATAAAGAAATGCAAAGAAACAAAATACGCCAAGTTACAACTACACATGAATGTCAACTTGGAAAAACAATATCTGAAATCACATAATGGGATAACTTCGACACACCCGCACCCCCGGTCATACCTACTGCATGAACCAGAAAAATAGTTATTCTTAGTCTACTAAATCGTGGAGAACAAACCTAATAGCCATTATAAACTTGGGGAAACCCGAGTTTCGTCCGCTAATGCCAAGCCTTACCATTCTCAAAGTAACAAAAAGTCCCAAGTATCTCCCAAAAAATCATCAATCAATCCCACAATGTATCATATACATTATAATTAAGTAATGCACTTCACAATCACACCAAACCTCAATACGCATACAATTCATGCCCTATAGTGTCCCATGCTAATCATTGCATGGATTTCAATACAATGACATCAACATGCATTTGTAATCGTCAAGTAAGTATAGTTATAATCATGCTAGCACTTCATTGTAATACCCCTAATTAACATTCATCCATAATGGTATACTAACAACTTAATACTTCACAAAATCGTGCTCTCAAGTAATCATTCATAAAACCTTACATAAAGCCACAAAATACATATAGCTTTTAATTAACCTTTATGCAAATAAGATGTGTAAAAATACAACTATATAAACATATACCACAGATAACCAATCTCTATTCCACCTCATTCCTCAAGACATCAAATTAAAACTAGGTTATGAATAAGTTTAAGTTAAAAACACTTACAACTCTCACAATACATGCATAGAACACACTATACCTCAAAACACAAAGAAATAACTAATTTAGGATTATACTACACCCCCTACCTCATTTGAGATGATAATCTCAAAAACTCCAAAATAGAAAATACTCCAATTGAGCCACAACCAAGGGTTTTGCTCCCCTTGGTGTCTCCGTCATAAAACTCTTCTACGGCAGCTCAAGAATCAAAGTGGAAGAAAGAAAAAATCAAGCTTGAAAGCTTGAAGGAAAAAAGAAAACAATGGAGAAAGGAGATAGAAGAGAGAAAAAGGGAGTGTTTGGCAACCAAAATAGCCATACACCCACACACATATACATCACACACACACACACACACACACACACACACACACACAAATATCTAACTTTAGTCTCATTGCGAATGTGACCTCACTAAAATTCAAAAATCACACTAATGGCCCCAAAAGTAAAATAAATGCATACATGCGTATGGAATGCCCCAAAAGTGATATGGAAGATAAAATGTGCCCCAAATGAATAAATGAAGTGTCGGGAACTATTCCCGAGCACTTGACACGGTCTGGGCCCACTTGACCTGAACACAAAAATAAATAGAAAAAGAAAATAGATAAAATGAAAAAAAGAAACAGGTCATCACACTCAAGGTATAATATAGATAAGAAAATAAGGACATAAACACTTGGTTCAATCATTTTGATAAACTGCATATCTTTCCTATATTCTTATATACATATAGATAAGAAAATAAGGAAATAAAAAAGGAAACTACAGTGTTGTGCCGCTATCACCATGCATGGCCTAAATCACAAGAAACTAATGCTCAGCCAGAGTACTAACTCATTAACAAAACCATATTCTGGCATTCTACTGCAATTTTAACTCCTAAAGCTTCAACAAAGAACACAAAAGTTCAATACTGGAATGGACACTTCCCAATATTGGTACCTTGCACAAATCTATTTGTAATTTTAAAATGTTTAGGCTCAAAATAGATGCCCATTGGCACCCCCTAGCTATTATAAAGTTGAATTCAAAAAAATATGCAGTATGACACAAATGGCCACAATGAAAGCATCAGGAAAGACAATTTTGGTCCATAAAAGGTACTAGGTCATCAATTGATGCTGCTAAGTTTGTTCTCTTACAAAAGATAAGCTTCTTTCAGGAATTGAAAGACAGAGCACTGCCTTTTCCATTGTTGCTTTTAAAAAATCAGGCCTCCCCAGTTGTTACAATGCGAGATTTGTAACACATTGGATCCGAATGGGAGAATGATTGGATACAAGGGCGGATCCAGGATTTCTAGTCGGGGTGTGCTAATTTTAGTATGTTGGCTAAGTTGACTTGGGCTTGATTGGGGTGGGCTAATACTATATATATATATATATATATATATATATATATATATATATTGGGCTGGGCTAATATTAGTATAGTTTTTTAAATTTTTATTTTTTTGGGGTGGGCTAGGCCCACCCTTCTATTAGCGTTTGATTGGATACAAATGAGTAGATGTGCAACATTATCTAACAGTTTAAGTTTTTAGATAAATAAACGAACACCCACATGTTACAGTTGATATTGGAGCCAGACCCAGCTCTTGATCCAGTACTACAACAAGCGCCCAACCCGAAAGGCGTCCGGGTGAGTCACCCGGATGGGCAAGGTAGCCCGACCGCAACGAGGACGGTGCGAGTTCGGGTGGAGGAGAATATTAGAAGGGAAGATTTGTCACACATCGGATCCAGATGGGAGAGTGATTGGGTATAAATGAGTAAGTAGACAATATTACCCAAGAACTTAAACTTTTGGATAACGGGCAAGCGCCCACTTGTTGTTACACCAATCCACTATACAAAAAATGACCTCTGGCCAAGAAGTGTTGGAGACCACATGCATGTGTTTCACATTTTCAATGGCCAAAAAGAATCAAGAAAACAATTGTGATTCAAAAATAACATTACATGAAAACTAAACACTGAAATTCAAAAATGTTATTCAAAGATAACTTTACATGAAAACTAGGGATGGAATTATTAAAATTAGAACAAGAAGAAGTATTTTATTTCATTGCAAAGCAGAATAGTACATGTATGTGCTACATTGACTTGCAATTTGCATATTTACTAAAATCATTTCAGGTACAATGCCAGTACAAATTCTAATATTTCAATATAAGATTAAATTACTGTTTCAAGGTTTAAAAGAGGGAGGCTTCCTGATCTTAGTAGCCTGCTCGAAGCCATAAGCAATCTCAATCAGTTTAGGCTCTGAACCCTTTAATCCTCCAAAAGTAATACCAAATGGCGTCCCCTCGTCGTCGTACCCAGCCGGAACAATAATACCCGGGAACTGGCCCTTCGCGAGAATGAGAGAAAGAGAGTTCAAGGGTGACACCAGTGCATCTAACTTATTTTTTTTCATCAACTTTATGAACCCATCTTTGGATCCTCTTGTTAAGTTTAATAACGCTTTCTTTTCTAGTTTGCCAATCCCATTTGTTTTCTCAGCTTCCAAAAAGTAGTATTGGCCATATTCACGGATCATTTCCTGCATGCAAAAGCCATTCAATGGCACATCTCAATAATCTTATTAAAGCAATATGTTTGTAAGTAAATTCAGAAAAATAAATAATGACTTCTAAATATCACCATATTCACTTTACATCATCATATATTGTTTCTAAGGAAACATTAAAGGTCAGTCTTGCTTAGTTTCTGAGAGCTGAAAATAAAAAATAAAAAATAAAAACTTCACAAAAATCTGTTTGGTTGAGATTTATCGAAAAAGTTTTCTGAAAAATTGATCCAAAAAAAGTTTGTTTTTCATATCACTGTCTTTTATATTACTATGGAAACTATTTACTGATTTCATTAGAATTGTTCCTAGAAAAATGAATCAAACAAACCCAAAGTGGCCTTGAGCAAATGTTACATTGGCACATTTTGACATCATACCAAAGCTGCTTGTTTGTCCATGAGTTAGGATCAAATTAATATAAGCTCAAATCAAAAGTAAAACCTCGAAAGTTTAATTTGCATTTAGTGTAGTATAGATTAATGCAGGCAAAGTGATTGTATAGAATTGGTAAATATTAATGTACTGATCAGTTTATAAAGAAAACAATCTAATTCATTCTTTGCATGATCTAAATTAATTAATAATGATTATGTAAAGTGGTGCTTACCAAATCCGAGTGTTTATTGTTGAATGCTATTGCATCTGCCAAGGATCGCACTGGAGAAGTGACTAGCTGCTTGAGATAATCATTTATAGCCAACTTGAACTCAGCCTTCATCGCAATGTCTTCGTCAATTCCTAGGTAACTTACCATGGCATGCAAGTTGGGTATTTCCAGATGGTCTACCAATATTGCACCTCCTTGCCTTATTTTGCACAGGATTAACAATGTATATGATGTTAGGTTAATACTTATTGGTTAGTGTAACCAATGCAAGTCAAGGGCCAGAGTTAGGTGAGCCTGCCCTTTAATGCTTATTTATTCAACAAAATCAGACCCACCAGTTAGCCAATTCGGCTTCGCGGATGGTTTGCAAACTCCGGATGCATACAATCACCAGCAAACCACATTCATCATTTAAATAATTAAATCCCAACCCTCACTTTCGGTGAGACACAACCCAGTGACCTAAAGGGAGCACCCCCAAAGGCCTTACTAGTCGAGCTAGCCAGAAACAGTGAAACCAAACCTTTTTTACTTCAACTTAAAAAGGTCCCTTCCTTACCCAAAAATAAATAAAAATAAAAATAAAAATAAGATAAAATAAAAAGGTTCTTTACCTTAATGTGTTCAAATGATGTTCAAAAAATGGAAAAATGTCAGAGTTTTCAGGGAAACCGAAGGAGGGGTCACTTGTTATCCCTAATCTCTTTCCCCTGAGCCCATCAGCCTTGAGAAATTGCAGATAGCCACCTTTTGGAATATACTTCGAAGCTCCTCTTGTTTCCACAGCATCATATGGATCAAAACCCACAATGGCATCAAGAACATAAACAGCATCTGACACTGTCCTGCAAATTGGGCTGTCTTGTCCGACATGGTATAAATGTGATCAATTAGAACGATAATCATATCAAATCAAGTTAAACTAGCAAGTGCAAAGTTGCATCACTTACCCGACTGTATCCTGTCTAGGTGTGATTGGGACGACACCCGATCGGCTGGTAAGGCCTACTGTGGGTCTGATCCCAACCACTGAATTCTGATTTGATGGACATAGGATGGATCCATCCGTTTCTGTACCTAGTGTTACTGCAGCCATGTTTGCGGCTACTGATATTGCTGATCCACTGCTTGATCCACATGGATCTGCAGAAGCTATGTATGGATTCTGCATAAATTAACAACGATAATATCACAATGTAATAGTTGAATCCCAACTAAAAGATATTCAGAAACTAAATTCTTAACATTTGGCCAAGATGGTGTACCAAGATTTTTAGCTCTTATCTGAGTGATAGTATTGGATTTGTAATTTAGAATATTACACTAGAAGATTGTGCCATTATACTCCACAAAAGGACAGGTACCAATCTCTACATTAAATTGCTGAAGGCATTGTGACAAAAAGCAACTAGTGAATCATTTTATAAAATGTGCATAAACATTTGAACCATAATTGAAATATACACTAATCCTTAATTTCTTCATATGACACACATATGAAATTGGGTGTACAGTACTATTCCATTTCTAGTGAGACTTTTTCCACACATTTAAGACATTCTTTTCTTTTTTCCTTTCTATTGCTATGTCATAATGAATAATGAAAGGAAAAAGCTTATTTAAAATACCACACAATCATGTTATAACGAGGAAAAGATTGCCTGAAATTCCACAATTTTAACATTTCTAATGCCAAAATGGTGAAGAAATATATCTTTGATAGTCCATTCTCCATCCGGTTCCTCATTTCCATTTGACATATATATTTTGACAGGAAAAGGGTTAAATTTCATAAGTGTGTGTGCGTGTGTATCACAATACCGTAATGAGCCAAATATATTATCCAGGACCCTATGGACTTGCAACATTATCCCATTCTAGAACCACTGTAGAAACAAATTGGTGACTTACCACACCTTGGCCAACTCTGGCATTCCAACCACTGGGTGCAGTGTTTGATCGGAAATAAGACCACTCACTCAAGCTCGCTTTTCCCAATATGATTGCACCAGCTTTCCTCAGCTTCACCACCACACCAGCATCCCGAGGCACAACAGATCCTAGAAGCGCAAATGATCCAGCCGTAGTGTTAAGCCTATCTTTGGTTGCAATATTATCCTTGACCAGAATGGGAATACCATGCAAACCAGACAGTGATCCAGGTCTCTTGGTCTTTCGCTCTTGGTCAGCCTTATCTGCTAAGTAGAGCGCATCCGGGTTCACTTCTATGACCCCTCTAAGAACAGGGTTGAGTCTATGAATCTCTCTCAGGTAGAATTCAACAAGTTGCCTCGAAGTGAGTCTGTTTTGCTTGAAAGCAATCTGGATATCGTGCACGGTAGCTTCTTTGATTGAGAATCCAATGCCTTTAGCGTCAATGCTGAATCCAAATAAAGCCATTCCCAGAAGTATAAGCCCGATGTGATTGGCCATAATGAAATAATCGAAAGAGAGAAACAACCACAATCTTTGAAGATACAATGTGATTATGGAAAGAATTGAAAGAGAGAAACAATCACAATCTTTGAAGATAGAATATCATCAAAGGTTCACTTGTAATAATAAAAAGCTTATGTTGCTGAGAATATTCTTTCAAGTATATGCTTACTCTTTGAATGGATAAGCTTCTTTCCAGAAGTGGATGATCAAAACATTGACCCACCAATAATGTTTTCCTTGTTGGATTCCGTATTAGCCAACCCCACCCAACAAAAACTGCTGCAAATAATAATGGACATCAACATATGCATTTTCACACTTCCAAAATGCACTGTTGATTCAGTCCTATAATATAGATAAGAAAATAAGGAAATAAACACTCAGTTCTAAGCTCACTCTTAGTCTTAGAAACACTCTGTTCAATCATTTTGATAAATTGAAGATCTTTCCTATATACTTATATACATATAGATAAGAAAAAAGGGAAATAAAAAAGGAAACTACATTATTGTGCTGCTATCACCTTACGTGGGCTAAATCACAAGAAACCAATGCTGAGCCACAGAGTAGTAACTCATTACCAAAACCGTATTCTCGCATTCTGCTGAAATTTTTTACTCCTAAAGCTTCAACAAAGAACACGAAGGTTCAATATTGAAATGGACGCTTCCCAATATTGGTAGCTTGCACAAATCTATTATTAATTTTAAGAAGTTTAGGCTCTGAGCCATTCAGTCCTTCAAAATTGATGCCAATTGGCACCCCTTAGCTATTATGCAGCAGAGACACTAATTCTGTAATTCCTAAATTTCCAACTATATAGCTGAATTCAGATTAACGCATAACCAGATAAATATGCAGTATGTCAAAACATGGCCACAATGGAAGAATCAAGAAAGACATGTTTGGTCCATATAAGATACTAAGTCATCAATTGATGCTGCTAAGGTTGTTCTCTAACAAAAGATAAGTTTCTTGAAGGAAGTGAAAGGCAGAGCACTCACATACCCTTGACTTTTCTTTTGTTGCTTTCAAAAATTAACCCTCCCCACTAAACAAAAAATGGCCACCAAGAAGTGGTGGAGACCACATGCATTCCTTTCACATTTGCAAATGCCCTGTCATTTCAATGGGAAAAAAAATATCTAGGGAACAAATGTTATGAAGCTGATGCAGTAAGGATGTAAGAATGCTTGAGGTAGTAGTATTGGGACAACAGTATTAGTAGGTGCAAACAATTCCTTAGGGGCCACACGCGGACATAGTCTAAGCTTGAAATACCTTGCACCAAGTCTCCCGGAAGAAAAAAAAAAAAAAAAAAAAAAGGTTATTCATCAAACAAATTTTTGGGTCTGGTAATTCTGGCTTGGTCATTTGAATAAGTTTCCCCTAAAAAATAAAAAAGATAAATAAAAGACAACAACAATGCTCAAATTCATCTCCCTCCAACAGTGGATATATTGTGGAAAGAAATTACCTTTTTCCTACCGTGAAATTCATTGCTCACAAGCTTTGGGTGAAGAAAGAACTGTTTGAATTTGTTAGGTGATGAGAAAGGTTTCTTCTTCTTCTTCTTCTTCTTCCTCCTCTTCGGTTCAGTTGAGACGCGTGATGGAGAAAGGTCCGTGGCATTCCCTTCAACTTCACCAGGTTGTGAAAAATTTGAAAGCTGTAGTGGTTTGTCACGACTCATTGTGTGCAAAAGGGTAAAGCAGATACACATCCAAACTCACACCATACCCTAATGTGATTCCTACTCTCAATCTCTACTTGGAGGAAATATTATAGGAAAAAATGACCGATTAGCCCTAAACAAATTTCATAAGACAATGAAATTCTACTTTTGATTTAAAAAAATATTAACAAAATTTATAACAAGGAACACTTTCTTGTTATAAACAATTTCTTTTTTATTTTTATTTTTTTATTGATAAAAAACACATTCACACTCACTTTTACCCCTAGGAGACTTGAACTCTCAATTTTTAACTTTGAAACTTGAGAAAGTACCATTAGATAACAAGGCTATTGGTAATGCAATTTCTCTTTTACGTACCATTTTCATATATAATGTATTTTGTTTAACTAATATTCTCCAAACAATTTTTCTAAAAATTTGATTAAAAATTAATAATTTAGGAAAAAAATATTTATTTCAAATTGATATATTAAGATAATTTAATAACTTTTCTAGATTAAGTCATCTCAAATTTATATAGATTTATTTTAGGATTTTTTTATTATTATTTTTAAATATGAAGTAGAAAATTAAAAATTAACGAAAAAAATTCATTTATTATTCATTAATGTAATTGGCATGCGCACCCATGTGTGGAGGCTTTCCGTATCCGTCTTCGCGAAGATCTCCAGATGGTTCTCAGCGAGGTAGGTAATTTGACAAGAAAGAAAGTTTGAATTTTGAACTACATTCGGCCTGATTCTCATCACACTTGACTTGAGATACATATGCATCCGACTCCTTTCTAATCGAGTGGTCAATTGAGAACCATTTTCTTATTCATTTGAGTGAAACACCAAGCAGATTCACCCTCAGATGTCGCCTAATCTCGTAGATCAGGGCTAGCCACTAAGCAAAGAGGACGGAAAGATCAAGCAACCAGACTGACTCCTTATTTGACAGAAGGGTTAGAATGGGCAAAGAAGGTTAACGAATCCGCAAAGCTGTGTAAACAGGGAGAGGAGGAAAGATTTGTGCATTGAAGGAACGGATAAACAAGAATGCAATGTATTACATGTAAGGGGTTCTTTACAAGAAACAATTATGAAGGTCTATTTTCGTAGGGTTTCAAACAAAGAAACAGACACTTCTACGAAAGAGTTGTACTCGTGTTGGACACCGACACTCCTCGACAATTCACACTTGTATTAGATAGTTCACACTTTTACATGCAAATTGTGTTTATGTTTGTGGCCACATCTAGATTACAACAATGTATTCCCCATTAATGGAAAATAAGTGGTTAATTACATGAACTTAGTGGTGATTCCAAAACCCTAAGACCTCTCTTCATATCTCTTAAATCCCTATATCTCATTAGTTTACTTTACTTGCATTTTAATTAATTGGATCTTAGTGTAATCAAACAACCAACCCTTCTTTGCAATCTTTTGATACGCTAGAGTCGAAGATAAATTCCAACACGTATAATCTCTGCGGACGATCCCTACTCGCTATACTTCATTAGTTGTAGTAGTGGTTTATAAATGTAAATTTAACTTTCTAAGCTTTAGAAACCAAAGTTATATTTTGACCTTGCGAAACGATCTCTAGCATTAAAAAGTCAGTTTTCTATCACACACCAAGGTTGACCACCAGTGTGCATCCACCATCTTTGTGCACTACCCTATCTTATGTCCTATAGGGCGAGCATTGGCCACAAGGACTGTAATACCCCTAATTTTAAAAGGATAGTCTCGGTATTAATTTGTTTGTTTTAATTGCATTTTTAATTAATTACTTGATTACTTGGCTAATTGCTTAATTGTTTAAATTAATTATGTGCTTAAATGATTTGTCTTAATTAATTTAGTAATTAATTTGCTTGCTTTGATAAGGTGTAATTTGTTTGTATGATTTTACTTGCTTAGATGATGTATTGCTTAATTGTAATTTTGTGTTAGGATTGAATTATTTTAATTATTTTATTTTATTTTATATTTTAAGGAGTATGGAGATGGATAGTAGTAATGCACCAAACAATTGGGTCGCATAGACTACTTAGATAGGAGGTGTAATGGGTACGGATATTAGCCATGGATGGTTGTACATACATATATGGGTATATATGTATAGGAAGATAATTTATTAGTATTATCATTATTGTTAAATAATTAAACATAAAACAAAAATATGGGCTGGCTCATGGGTTAAACCAAGTGCGGCGGAGGAGGTTCAACGGCAACTAAGATCGCCAGAAAACCTAGGAAGAAGACGGTTAAAGGTTTCAAACCATGTTCCGAAATTAGGGGGTATCACAGTATGTTCGCCTTGACCACTCTCATAAACTTAAGATTTCGAACAAATACAAATGATAAATCACCCACATAAGGTTCATTTGCAGCTTACACAGAGTAGGCAGGAAGGAGTTGGAAAGGTACATTAGACAGTTCTCTATCTTTCAAATGATCTTTATATTAACTATGCCCAATCTTTGTGAAATATTTGCTTTTTGGAAGATATGCCATCAAAGGAAAGCATACACTATCTCATATAGACCATCAATACGTGTTATTTCATTTGAACCTTATCAAATATATCAAAGTAGCAATGTCCACAAAAAGTCATCTATATGCTTTTGTAATCTTAAATGCTTTATCCACACTTTATTGTGTCACTTCTATGCATATAGAAAATGAGGTTATTCAACTTGAAAAGGTTTAGATGATAAATCATATAGGTCCTATCTTAAATACCTAAAGGAACAAATCTCATTGGAAGAACCATCTCATGAAAAATAAGAATGAGAATTTCTGATGCCTTCCTAAGAGACTCAACTCATGAAAACTTCTTGGAAGAGCCATCTCATGAAAATAAAGAATGAGAATTTATAATGCCTTCCTAAGAGTTGATGTATTTACCACCATCCAATTAATCATTCATTGGTGAACATTCTATATGTGCTAGATAAAGGAACTAATTAATTCTTAAAAGTTGATATACTTTTAACCATGTTCCTTTACCATGTGATCACATCATGATAAGTATCTTGAGTATCATTTGTAACTAAGCTAGACTATTAGCTCCCAAAGGTTACACCAAGAAGAAAAAATTGAATACATGTCTTTGTGCACATAAGACTTTCAATTGAAGCAATAAAAATGCTACATGTTTTTGTATGAAATGATTTTTAATTGATTTCATTTATATATATATATAAAAAAAAAAGACTATGAAGAAAAATCACCCGGAATTTAAATGTATAAAATTTTGAACTATATGTTTAAAATTATCTATCGTCTTATGTGATTAAAATGAGCTCCTAGAGGTCTCTTTGAAAAGCATAGTGATTTTCTCAAGATTGATGGTTTTTGACAAAATTGATATATATATGTGTGTGTGTGTGTGTGTGTGTGTGTGTGTTTTCAAAACCTTTCATGAAAACATGTTGATTGCACTTATATACTATCCTTAAATCAATATTTATGATTTGTGCAAAGAATCTTACCTTTAGTATGCAAAATAAATTAAAATTAGTATGATGAGCAAACTTAATTTCTTCTAAAGATTCAAGTTCCTTAAGTGTCATGAAAATTAAATTTCATATATCTATTTGACACTTTAGTCTTGGGAATATGTTATTCAAAGAATACTTTATTTTAGCTTAGATGATTAATGTGATATCACAAGTGCTAATTTATTTGATATATTCATTTTTAGCACTTTAGAACTTCATATAATGTTTTTACATCACTTCTTATAGAATGTGTCTAAAAGAGATATATTAAGCTCATTCACATGGACAAGCATGTAGCCAATCTCTCACCACATCTCTTAAAAAAAGATATTTTGGTATCAAGACCTTCTGTTATATATCATTCTTAACACCTTAGGATTCCATAAGATGCTTTGACATGACTCCTTGAGAATTATGTATAAGAGAAATATTGAGCTCATCCACATGGAAAATCATGCGGCCAATTAACTCTAATCATATAAGTTCAAGAAAATATATTTTTGCATAATTAGGCCTTCATTGCACATAACTAGGTCTAGTGACACTAGTTTCATATGCTTTATATCTTTCATACCTTATATGATTCTAGAAATGTTTTGGTCATTAAAATCATATAACAATTCACATTCTTTAATGTCATAATACCTTTTGGTATCATTGCCTTATTCCATATATCATTATTTTATTGCATATCCAATGCATGATATATGATAAATGAAAGCATATTCATAGGGGGAGATTATTGATAATGTCTTAAGAATAAATATTGCATGATTTGCTAATCTTTATTGATTTATCTTGTATATTGTCAAACATGCTACAAAATGACTTTTTGGTCATTATATTTATTCTATATGAACTTTTATGATTTTGACGATATTTTCCTCCTTCTGGAGGATATAAAATGGGGAGAAATATATTAGGTTTGAAGTAGTCTTGAGTTCTAAGATTTGCCTTTAAAAGGTTGTTTGTCTTTTGGCTTATTCTAGTATATGCTTCATTTTTGTTTCATGTTTGATTATGTATACTATTGTATATGGCATGAACCTTAAATGATGTATTGAACTCATATTGTCAATGAAATTGGTATCTTATGATATAATTGCTTATATGTTGCACTCTAAAGTGACTGGTCTTGTCGCACGGCCATTAAGTTTGGAGTGTGTGCGTTAAGGCTAGGGCCAAGAGTTTTACATTTATAAGAAGCCACTACTACCTTCACTAAAAATATAGTTAGGGCGAGTAGGGATCGTCCCAAGGGATTGTGGGGGCAAACAAGGTTGTGGAATTGCAATTAGGGCTAGTAGGTCGAATGATCAAACAAATGGTTGGTTGGTTGATTAGACTAGATGCAACTTAAACTAAGTGATATCAAAAGAATGCAATTAAGAGTAAACAAGAGAGAGAAGAGTCTTGGGGTTTAGAGATCACCACCAAGTAATGCATTTCTATACTATTGACAAGTGACTAATGAAGGCAAATGGTGTGTTGCAATATTGGTGTGTGTGTGTATTTGGTTGATTCAACAAGCAAGGAT